CCCCCCCCCAGACTTCTCTCAAGTAGCCTTGAGGATATTCGTATCACTGGTTGAGAAACACTGCTATGAGGCATACCACAAGAGTTTTTTAAATGGGAGCCTAAATGACTTCAAAAGTTACTTTGGGCCAAATTTTTAAAGGTACTTTGGTGTTGCTTTGCTCAGCCCAATGGACACAGGTGCCTGAATCTCACTGAAAGACTCTAAAAGCCCTAAGTCCCATTGACTGTCAGTGAAATTGAGGCACCTGTGTCAGTTAGTCATTAGTCATCAAAGGACCTAAGTCGCTTTTGAAAATGTGATTTAGGTACCTAAGCCAGGCAGAATACTACCTAAGTACCATTATAAATCCAAACCCTCGCTCTCTAAGTGCCTTATTTGAAAATAAGACTGAGGCGCCTACGTAAATTAAGCACTTTTGACATTTTCCCCATAAGTCAAATAACTATTTTCACAATCAATTACTTGTGAGGTCCTCATAGAAGTATGAAAACAGTATTTATTTGCTTCACAATTTGAGGTATCCATGCTGCAATTTTTTTTTAGCTCATATTTGATCTTTGGAGATATTAACTACTTTAATTTTTTTTAAACTCTACCATTACAGTCATTGGTGCAAGGTATCTCTTATGTCATGTGCATGCCTTTGATTTTTCTTAGTATTATTTTCAATATGAATTAGATTATTTTTCCCCCACAGCAAAATGTGATCCAGTATGTCGACATGGAGGTGTCTGTGTAAGACCCAATAAGTGCTTGTGTAAAAAAGGATATCTTGGCCTCCAGTGTGAACAAGTGGATAGAAATATCCGAAGAGTGACAAGGGCAGGTATTCTTGATCAGATCATAGACATGACATCCTATTTGCTGGATCTAACCAGCTATATTGTATAGCTTCTGGGACTATCTGAATACTACACTTTCAACGGGCATTTATTTTGAATCCTATCATGTTAAAAAGACTGTTATTCTGCTATAAACACCGGTGATTCATTTCACTTTTATTAATTTAACTATAATGTCCAGACATGTGCAGATAATTTTTGCATGTGTGTGTGTGTGTGTATATATATATATACACACACACACACACACACACACACACACACATCAGCACAAATGTATAGATGTACAACACATACAAAATCCCATCATAAGTGTGGTTGCATAATTAGTGGAATTTTTAAAATATGTTTCTTCGCATGAAGTAGTTTACACAGTGATTCCACTTTAAACCACATTTTCATCAAAGAACTCTTATGATGTCATAATGAATTCTTTGACATCCTAGCAATTTTATGTCTGTAACTATCTGATTATAATAAAGAGAGGAGTTTTGAAACATTACTGTATAAACTGATGGATTTAATTAAATTTAGTTATAACAGTTTTTAAGGTGAAATGAACTATGCTATGAGATAATATTTCCAAACTCCTTAATGCATTCCTAAATAGGCAATTCATTGTAAGATTGTAACCTTCACCTTCATCAATGTATTTCTATTACAGAATGTTATGCACTTACTACTTTATCTGGCATAGATGCAGAAATCTGGTTATCGCAGCTTAATATCAAGAATGTTTCAAGTGTTTAATAATTTAATTATATCAGCGTATTTCAAAACCAATCATCCTAGAAGGTCTGCTTTTTATCATATATTTTATTTAACATTGGGCACCGGGTTCATGTTACATATTTATATTATTTTATTTTATTTTTATAATATAGACGTCACCTAGATGAAACAGCTTTACCATGTCCTGTAAAATACTAAAGTTACATTTTTCACCAACTTAATTGGAATGACGGGGAATGAGAGAGCAAACACTCTTAAATGTGTTGTGGATGTAATCTAGAAATGTATCCTTGTGTCAACATATATTCATTTACGACGGATGAAAAACCACCAACCAATCTTTATAGAATTCCAGCATACTATAAAAATGATTATAAAAAATGCTTTTCAGTATAACAGGACTGCCCAGATTATGCATGATTAGACTGTTACCGATTTCAAACTGAATGGAATTTCATTGGACAAGCACTCACTTTAGCAAATCTTGGCTACATAACTTGTACAAAACGTTATTTGACGATTGTTGTCAAATATGGTTTTAAATGTAAATGTTCCTTGAAGAATTAGCAAAAAATGAATTTTGTAAATGTATCAATAAATTTGGTGTACATGCTGTATTCAGGTTTTTTAAAGCATTAGTTAATAGTTTATCTATAGACACTTTCAGACTGGGGAGACCACCCCCAACCTGCCCTTGGCCTCTGATTCTCCGTGATGTGTGGTCTGATCTCTGTGTTCATATATGTCACGTATAAGGTTTCCTTTGCAATACTGCCTTTCAGAAAAACTTACCTACAAAAGTAAGAGAACAACCACAATGTTCCCATCAGAGTTCTATACACTGCTGTGTCTGTATCAATAGTGGTTAGGGGTTTAAGCAATGCAGTCCAACCTATTCCATCGAGATTTCACACCGATAAGAAAATGACCTCTGTAGGACCATGACTTGTAACATTAATGGATGTTTTCAGTCTCTTTTTTAAAATACATCTGACATTTGTAAGTAAAAAATGCATGATATTTGTCCTGATCTGTTAAGAAACTAGCTAAAGTGAACTGAAAGCTACACTTGCCTTCCATGTATGATTACTTGAGTTTCAGCTGACCTCATGCCAAATGGAAATTGGTTGAGAAATCTTGGTTGAGTGCTTAGTGAACAATAGTCTGCATTAAAAAGTGCATGCATAATTTTGCACAATGTAGATTCAAGTGACAGTCTATTCAAAGAAGTCTCAGGATTAAATGAGCATGGAGACCAAATTGCCCTCTTACCCCAGAAAAGGGTGGTCCCTTCTAGTCACACTAACACTTCATTGGCTAAGCAGTGTGACAAATCTTGCAATGAACCCTGCATTAGCCTGCATCTGCAGGTTAATAGCAGCTCTTTGTCTCCACTGCTTTCTGCCTATAGTCTTTTTTTTGAATTCCATCACAAAAAGTTTTACAATTAAAAAAAATGTCCTGACAACCATTTTTGTAAATTGACCTTAACAACTAATCTTCCCTTATTCAACGTGGGTGACATTAACAAAATGTAAGCTTCCTGTGAAAGAGCCAGCTGTCTAAATCTGTCAGATAGTGCAGTTTTATTATACATTATACTGTTCATAGAGTCAGCAAAACAAGAATAAAGTTACTGCAGTATTCACAACATTTAAATATCCAACCAAACTAGCACTCCCCTTCTCCCCACACACACACACACACACACTTCCTTTAACAAAAGTAATTCCAAGCTGTAACTTCATACCAGTTGTGACTCTTGAATATTTTCAGCACCTAACTGAAAAGGAATGATGGACCTTTTCCCGAGTCACTTCCAAGTTCTTTGAAAAGAACCAAGCCCTAAGGTTCTGTTATCTACTTTCATGAAAGACTAAATTCTTCTAGTAAGAAGTTATCCAGAGTCACTGATGTTAGCTTATAATAACAAAAAAAATCTAGTTTTTGGATGGCCCCTCATCGCTGTTACTGGTGAAAACAGATATCCGCACTCCAAAAAGATAGGGGGCTAAAATCCTGGCCTCATCAAAATCTATGGCAAAATATCTGTTGACATCAGTGGGGCAGGATTCCATCCTAAAATTTGAAATGTATACATCAATTTATAAAATAAAATCCATCTGCCACATTCCAGAAAACTTGCAGATCTAATTACGAAGAACAGGTCTAAAAGATTGAAGATAAGGGGGAAAGAGAGAGGAATTTGCTTTTCATTGAATTATTAAACATCTTTACCATCCTGTGGAAGCAGACCACCCTCCATTAACCCCTAAGGGTGTAGAATATAACATGAGGATGTCCATGGGAAAAGATGTTCTCATTAGACATTTGAACTGCATCTTTTTCATATAAATTACAGTAAACATTGAAAAATGTGAGTAAACTGAGGTCAACCTAACGGTAAAAAATGTTAAAGAAGTCTGACTGCAGAGAATGGAGAACTGACATGCAAAAATTAAATTATTTTTGTAGCACTCACTGCTAGTTAGGTCACTGTGTAGTAGAAGTTTTCCAGCATAAAAAACAGTGCATTTAAATGAAACTGGCTAAATGGGGCAAACAGAGAAGGAGACCAAATAGGATTTTGTGCATGTGCTTGAGTTTCTCTCTTCTTTTTCCTGTCTTTTATTTTAATACGGTCATTAGGAAACACATGCCATGCCTTTGTTTCCAACATAATATGCATTTCAGGCATTCTTTCAGCATCTTTCCCCTCCAAGAGAAAAATGTGCAATAATTATATCAAGCCACGTAAATCTACTTTAGCCTCCAGCTGGATTTAATCCACTTATATTTCTCATTTTATCACGTTGTACTGGGGAACTAACTTTCCTCTCCCTCTTCCTGAAAAAAATAGCATACACCAGTAAAGGGCTAATATTTGCATAGCCGCTGAGCCATTTTCTCTACTCCACATATGACAGTATGAATATTTGGGATGCAAAGACTTGTTATGTTAAGAATTTGCCATAAAATCATTGTTGTGCTTTTTAATCACAAAAAAATATTAAACTGACTTGTGCAACTGCAAATATTAGCTCAAAATCTTCCCTCAGATTAGCACAAAACATCTTCCATTGATTTCAAGGGACCCATATGTGCTCACCAAAGAGCAGATGTTGGCTCCTGGTGTATAAAAATCCTCAGAGGTTACTGTGCTCCAGGCATCCAAATTATCTAACTATCAATATCAGGGAGAACTATTCTGTACTGGCAGCCATGATAACTTCAGCATCTTTTTCTTCTCCCACTCACTTTCATTAATTTTGGCTTGGTAGCTCTTTCCTCAGAGTATTCCCATGCTGTTTTGGCTCACTATTTTATAATCCATTGCAGTCAGATGCCTCACCAAAGTGATCTCTCTATATGTTATATGCATATTATATGCAATATTTAAACAAAATACTGGTATTTTTAAAAATGATACTTTTGATTTTTCTGCTTTTGTTATTTTTTGGTCAGCTACTTTGGGCTCCCCCCCCCCCCACACACACACACACTTCTAATACTGTAGCTTAGTTGGCATTGGTCATTCACTATGTGGTTCAGAAGTAGCAGTCTCAAGTTCCTCACGCTTAGATCCTGATGCTCAGTTGTGTCAACAAGGTGACTTGCTTGAGGTAGGCAGAAAAACAGTTATTTATTACGCAGTTGAACTGCCAGGCACTTAAAAAACAACACAGGCATCAGCTTTGAAGGGGATTTTTTTCCAGTTCAGTCATCAGAACCCTCAAATGAGAAACAGAAGGGGATCCCCTAAATGAAGGAATTTTGCTCACA